GCATTGAACATTGTTAAACTTTCTCGTTGCCTCATTTACCTGTCTCAACCTCTATTCTACCGTACACATCATACCATTTACCTCATACCCTTTACCTAACTTCAGCATTCATTTCTTGCTTTTCTTATTCATTCATTGTTTTCTTGGGGAGCTGTCGTTGAGCCTCTTGCGACCACTGGAGTCGGCGATTGTATGTTTAAGGGCGATAGGCCACTAGGCCCGTAATGCCCGGCACCAGTTACACACACACAGTTTCCAGGTGTATGGATAGACAAACATATAACCCGACTAACCGCTATTATTATATGCCGTGCAGGCCTTTCCCGCATGATCTTGCTTTTACTACCCGCTACCGCTGGATTCCCCTCCGTCAGCGTAAGTGGTTATCTTTTGACGAGAAGAGAGAGAGACACGCCTACGTCGGAGAGACTGCAGCAGTCTCCGGGCCTAGGTGCCCCGGGCCGGGGCACCTAGCACCCCGCCTATTTGTCCGAGGGACACCCTCAGGCCATACCCAAGCCCGAAATGATCCCGGAACTCACCCCCCGGCCCCGCTAGGGCGGCCACCGGCAAACACAAGGAAAACGCAGTTTGTGGTTCGGAAAGTAAAAAAGTGGCCGCCGAAGAAAAAAATGTGGCCAAAGGTAGAAAATTTGTAGCGCGCGCGATGATGACGCCCGCTAGTAGTCGAAGTAATTTGGACTAAGATTTGGTGGATTCTGCAAAATTCAACAGATGTGCAGAGATCTGCGTGTTGTTCTCATTCCGCCAACATCAGTATTGGCAATAACTGCACATGGACAGCTCTCGCAAAATTGGTCTTCTGGACAAGAAGTGCCAAGTAGGTGATTTTAGGGTTGCGAAGAAAAAGATTTTGCATTGTTTTTTTGGTGTTATGGAACGTGCTTCGCTCCGCCGTGGCGCGCTGTCCTTATTCTCTGTGCGATATTTCACTGTGTGCTACAGACCGTATCGGTGAGTACTGCCACCGTTTCGCAGTATCTTTAGCTATTGGATATCGATCATACAAATCGTACGTATAAGCTGTCGTTCGAGCTTACTACGAGCTCTGTACAAGTGCACTTTACACGTAGTCCACTCGTGTTCTGTACACGTATTCCACTTGTACTCCCCGTCGTCTATCGTAGTATCCCTGCGGTAGTCATATTCTCTGGTTATCTCCATCTCGTACAGTCACCGCTCTATACGTAGTTGGATATCTGGTTATAGCTTAGTCAGCTCAACTCCTTATACCCTAGGTGTGCTGGTTATGTTCTTCTACTCTCATTAGTTGGGTCGGTTCACTCCTGCGACATCTTTCTGGTAGCAGCTTCTTGTTCTACGCCTTCATTTACTTGGTTTGGTTATGAGTGGTCACGAAGACGGTGGTATGCCCAGTTCTCCTCGAGACATTGGTATTGGTACTAACGAGATGTCAGCATCTTTCTCAAGCACGGGTACGGCTAGTACGCGCTCTACTTCTAACAACGCTTCTTTTGTGGCGAACGGTACGAACTCTCCAGAGCCTGTCTCTGTGAGCGGTGATCCCGGATTGCCTCGGAAGCCTGCTATTGGTCTGATCAGCCATCACGTGTGCGAGAAGATCAAGGGTTCTGTTGACCAAGACATACAAGAATGGTTCGGTACCTTCGAGATGGCTACCTCTGCTTGCGGTTGGGATGATGTTCAGCGTGGTACATACCTCGGTCTCTATCTCATTGGTTCTGCACAGCGAGTTTGGCGTTCGACTTGTTCTAAGGGTGATTATCAGACGGCTCGTACCACTCTGCTTAAGGCCTTCGATAAATCCAAGACCGCTGATGCTGCTCTTCTACGGTTCAAGGGGTACGCCTGGGATGGCAAGATCACCTTGTCGGAGTATACTCCGAACTTATCGCAAGCCCTCCAAGATTATAGTGCTCTGCTCCCGAACGACTCGAAGATTCGCTTTGCTGTGTTGGAGACTCTACTGATTGACCGTGTTTGCGAGACAGCCACTGGTTCGGCTAAGGCAGAGATGCGCCGTCATCGCCCCAAGACATTCCGTGAAGCTTGCGAGGTCCTGGACGCTCACTCGGAAGATGTGACTGCCAATGCCACCTCTCGTACCCAACAAGTGAATGCGATAACGTCTCCCTCTTCCGAACGTGTTGACTCAGAGAACATCTCGGTGGTATAGACGAAGGAATTCGAACGGCTGACTACTGCCATGACTAACGCCCTGACTCATGTTGTACGCCCTGCCCAGGCTGATCAACAAGCCCCGGTTCAGCATGCTGGTAATCGTGGCAACGGTAGTGGTGGACGGTTTCAACAACAACGACGTAGTAGATGTGGTATTTGCAGTGGATCTCATCGCACACCTACTTGCCCGTTTCGCAAGTACGACACTGGGTGTATGATCTGCGGTAAAGACGACCACATGGCTCGCAGCTGCCATAGTCAGTACCCGGTAGTGCCTTTGCAGTTTTTCGTAATGCTCCAAATTCTACCAAACCTAGCTCTCCTCACCACTCCATTGATGGGGCACGCTCCTCGTCCTCAGGGCATGATTCTCCGGACGCTCGACTCCGAACAGGTAGTAAGGGTGTCGATGTTTTCTCACAAAAACTTCGTCCCACCATGTGATTTGCACAACCTTTCGGCTTTTTTTGGGGTGGTTCAAACTCAATGCCAAATACAGCGGTACAAACTCAAGCCAGCGTTTTAATTCTTGAGTAGGCTGAATGGAACCCACTGTTGTGAGTCACGACAGTGTGACAGACTCTGGTCACAACTTGTGACTACAGTCTGTCATAATGACAGTGTAATTTTTATCATATTCTGACCGCCAATGTGCTCCTTCGGCGAGTCTCCGTGCTTGCTCACCTCATCCTTCTCTCAGGGTATTCGGAATATGTCTTACGCGCCTCTCGAAGATGGTCGGCTCTATGTCCTGCCCAATTTATGCGATGGTATATATGTGGTATGTAATGGTTTCCTGTACCAGGATGGCACTCCCTCTCGTGGAGCACCGGCTGGCACCAGCTATTGGGCTTGCCAGCGCACCCGCAGATGGACTGCGACCAGCCCGGCTATAAGTTGTGCTTCCAGGCTGGTTATCTACGGTGATGTATATGATGACTCGGTGGAACTCAGCTTGCTGAAAGAGGTCAAAGAGCACACTTGTGGGACGAGGAACGCCGACGGCCACCATCTGCATATCAGTATGGACACGTCCGTTTGCTCCGGGCCGCCTCTGATAAGCTAACTCCCAGGGATGTTTACGATGAGTTCACAGCCCAAGCATCGCTGCGGCGCTGGAGCAGCTGCCGAACATGGAGACTTGCTTGGAGCATATTCGAAGGGTTATGCAGAAGAACAACCCCAGGCCACCGAATCCCCACCACCGCACAGGCTTCGAGATACCATCGAAGTACTCCAAAGCCTGTTTCGGCCCTGGTCCTGATGGGGGGCGATTGATGGAGGAAAATATCTTGTATCATGATAGCGGCATCAGTGGTGTCAATAGATGTTTAATATTCCTCTCTCCAGGCCTTTTTACTTCCATTACCCAAGGCCGGGCTTCCATTGACCTCAGCGTTGACGGGACATTTTCGTGTGACAATACAGTGTGCTTGTCCGACATAGATCCTCATCCGCCATGTGTCCGAGTATTTTCATACTAATGGCGAACCGCCAGAAATCCTCTTATGAATTCGTGTTTCGACAACTATTGCCTCTGTTTCATGGTCTCCGTATCAACAGCTGCATAGCTGACTTCGAGCAGCTCGCTGTCAGTGAATTCTGCAAAGCTTTCGGTTGTTTGTTTCCGTTTGGAGCTTTCGAATCTCTTGAGAATGTTCTTCGGTTGTTCCGCATGTTTGCTCACTCTGGGGAGCACTTGCGGAGCGAAGGAGCTCTTCTGTTGGAGACGGGTCGGTGCAGGACAACGAACTGCCAAGAAGGGTGGCACCGCTCCTGGAATGCCGGAACCCCTCCCCATCCGGGGGTGCGGAGGTGGATCGGGAACGTCATGCGGTGCCTCAGCCAACAACGGGAGAAGATCAGCAACCTGGATAGAGGAGACAGGGTGCGCCGGAAGCCTTATTACGAAGTGACCGACGCAGCGCTTTATGCCCTTATTCAAGTTGATCCCAGTTCGTGGTTCTTCAGCGCGTTCACGCCAAGCTGACGAGGGAGCCCCTAGTAAGTCCCCGTCAGATTACGTGGTGTGCGTAGCATATTTCTGAACAGGCCAAAACTCTTTCCAAGCTCGACGAGAATCTCAAATATCCACGCCACTGATGCCTTTCAGGGCGCGATCCTCATCCAATGGGGCTGCCGGTAGGTGTTGCGAGAGTGGATCGTCCGAATCCGATTCGGGTTCGGACGTTTCATCGACCGAGTTATGCTCATCTTCTTGATACATTCAGATACCACAGGGGGGAGCTCGCATCGTTCCTACCCGTACGCTGCTTTGTCATCTGCAAGTGAGTCTTTCTCCAATCAATTTATGATCATGACACGCCATGATTCGCAGGTCAGCCATTGGGAACCACTACTACAGTCTCAGTACGATCAAACCCAAGCTCGCCGAGAGGAGCTGGTAAGTCCGGCAATGTTTGGTAAAGTAGTGATTGTGACCCCTCCAGGTGGCCCTGATTTATCGGCTCCCGTACATGCTTCATCCGGAAGTCCTGACACTGCTCTGAGCTTTTCGCAATGTGCTTCAACCTCAGTGCAGCAAGCGCCCGACAGAGGCTCCAACTCAGGTGAGGAGTCCTCACTGAGGACTCATTATGTGTTGCATGCTGATATCACGGCAAAGTTGTTGTTTGGTCAGACGCACCATCCCCCAGTGTGGACATGCCCCCGACGACTCAGCAAAGCGAAGTCGTAAGTGATGATACCCAAGGTGAGGACTATCGCTGAGCCTCTGTTCGTTCACCGTGAATGGTCGCGAGGATCCGCGGTCGACCAGGGCTTTCTCACGGAACTCGTCTTCAGTCCCCTCGACGGCGCAAGGTTCTTCACAGCCTATCAGCCCTAACGCCGGATCGGGTTCCAACGGACAGAATGGGCAGGGCTACTGGCAAGAAATAGCAGGTATCAACAACAGGGGCCGGCCCGGCCGCCGTTCTGTGACTTTTGAAGACCGTGACGAGCTAGGCTCAGCTGGTATCCCAATCTCCGATGCAGTGATAGACTTCTGGATGAGACTGCTGACTCTGCGGAAGAAACTATGGCGGGATCCTATGCCTCTTGCTGGTATGCTGCTCCACGCTCAGCAACCACATTATCCGCCTATCCTATCTGCTTCCTTGGCTTCTATCGACCTCTGGGTCCAACCGCTAGCAGACGTCGACGCTGGTCCCTGTGCCTGTACGGTTGTGAAGCGCGGCCGCGTTTACTTCTGCGACTCCCTGTCATCCAGTTCGAAGCCTGACAAGGGGATGATTGACCAGCTGAAGAGCATATATGGCGTTGCGGTAGAGGTGACAATATTGTCTTTACAACAACAGAGTCCATTATCCAAATTATGTGGGGCATTTTGCCTCGCCTTCTGCACTGAGTTCTGTTTGGGCGGTGTCCAACCCAGCCAAGCAAGGTTTCGGGAGTCCGGCATGCGGCAGCATATTATTCCTTGCGTTGAAGAAAAGCGGGCTAGGCAGTTTCCCCGCTTATCGCCCAGTAAGGCGAGACCTGTCTACAACCCTAGGCGGAAGGTTACGTTGTAAGTTGTGAATAATACTTGATGCAGGTAAATGAAACTCTTCGTTTCCGTTGAATTATTCTTCCAGCACTGTGTTGCGTTGAAAATGAGGAGGAGGCTGGTCATAATGCCACCGCGATCATCGTAAAAGTGAACCATTGATGACTTGATTCATCACATTGTGAGCACAAGTGCGCTGCACACCTGCATTTCAAGATGGAAGGCAAAAAAGAACTTCCATTTTTTGTCTGTAAGCTTTTAGCTCATGCACGGAAGTTCTGTCGACGGTGGGTTCCGTTGATGTTTCTCGCGCCGGCCTCCACCGTTTTGGTGCTCTGGACATTCAGCGTCAATTCACCACTCGTGCTGTGGTGCTGGGATTCAGCTGCACTTTCAGTAATTTGGGGATTCATCTGGCAATAATTTCATGGAACACTGGGCAACTTCAGCGTTTTTTCAGTAATACGTGTTGTCGTTCATAGGAGTATTCAGCAACGCGGCTTTTCTGATTGTAGTTGGTAAGTCGTGAATTGAAGGTGAGCGCTTTCACAATTCCTGCGGCAGTGCTTGCTTAGCGGTGAATTCTGTGCAATTTGTATTCCGTCGTGGGTGGGGGAGCTGGAGTTCGACTGGTTCTAGTTCAACCTGGCCGACTACCGGACGGTCTTCTACAGCGTGTGGATCGAGAAGTCCCAGACCTACCACCCCTACCAGCCTTCAATCCTGATGCACCTCCTGCTCATGCTCTACACCCTCAGCGATCGATGCCTCCCAGGTCAATGTCTGACGAGGACGAGTTCTCTAACGGTGTCCCCGACAATCCGCCGGTACCCGCCCGATCTGTGGTACGACCGCCGAATGGTCCGTCCGCATCTCCTGTCCCGTGTAGATGACTTATTTCGATTTGGTTCTGCTTCGGAGGTTTGAGGATTCTCCCAGATTTCATAATTCTAAGGCTTAGATGACCCTGATTAGCGTAGATCGATCAAAGCCGCACATAACTCCAAAGCGTCTTCCCTATGCCATCCGCTGCCATATACCAGTTTGAGTAATATTGCCAGCCTCTTCTCCATGTAGAAGGAAATATCATCAAGAGGAATATCATCAGTCAGAACTTTCAGAAGAGACTGCACCCCTCCCTCTCGCCTTTGCGCTAGCTATGCTGCCTTACACTTACTACTAGAGCTGAGCTGGTGAGTATCTTTCCGTTCGAGATTAATAGAAGCACCCCCTCGAACCTTTCGCCTCGGCTTATTCCTCCTAGTTTGACTTCTAACTTCGGCCCTAGTAGTTAACTGCCTCCTGGTATTGTAGCCATGCTTGTGGGATTGACTTTCAGGCTTGTTTCCAACTCCACTGTTTCTCAGCCTTGCTGATCTGCTTCTTGCACTACCCCTTGTAATCCCTCGCGCGATATTCGAGTGATGTTTACTGAGGTCGGCCCCAGCACTTGACGCACTAGCTTCAGTCACTTGAGATGACTGAAGATACTCAGCACTATCTTGACTGGGATGGACTTCTTCTTGACGAATGGTACTCATGAGCGATATTTACTAGTTGCTGTGTGTATCACAAGTTTGGGGACATGAGGGCAAGATACGACGTCGATGGGTGGCATAGGGTGGTGGCATGGGAAGGCCAAAAAATTTGGTAGAATTTTTTTCCGAGTTTTGTTTGCGCGACCAGGTTGTCATAACATATAAAGGAGAGTGTATAAACGAAGTTCGAGACTGAACTTCGTCGTAGATGCAAAGTTCTTGCGCTGAACAGTTTTGCACTCTCTAGATTGCGCGTACTGTACGTCATTTAGTATCTCCCATCTGTGCTCGGCTAAGCTATGTCCTCCAGTTTTATACGCAGTGGGCGACTCTCTTCGAGGAGCTTCATATACTGATTTCTGATGCCATCCATTGTCTCTTTCAGCTTCGCACTCACGCCATTCGAGAGATATCTCTTATTATTGATACAATCACTGATTAAATTTTCCTAATCCTCCGAGAGCTCCAGTAGCGTCGAGTATTCTCTGTCCTCTAGAGTGTCGATCTCTCACAGACTCAAATCCGAGCTTCCCCCCTCACTGCCTGCCGCTTCGGAGAGACTTTTGTGGTCATCTCTTTCATCGTTCATCGGATAGTCATTCCAGTCTCTTCTTTCAGCTTCTTGCTTCCCTTTCTTCTTATTGACGCCAGGTGAGGAGGTTCCTCGAGGACGTTCAGTAGGCTGCTGCGCTGAGACGAAGCCTGCTCGGAGGGCGACGATGCCATTTGTGTGTTGGATTTGGTATAAGCGAATCCAAGCTTGAGCCAGATGGGTACTGTTGTCAGAAAATAATCTATGTTACTCACTACACGGGGAGTCATCGTCCCCTTATGTATGTGTATCAATTGCTAGGGTTCACGTTCCTTTTTCACGGTATATCGTTCAATTCAAATCAGCAGCTCGATTATACTTCTACTCTAATGAACTGGTCCCGATCAATAAGGCTCAACCCAGTCAGTCCTCTTCATCACACTTCGTTGATGCTAGATGGATCCCGCACCTCATTTCGCAACTAGCTCGCATTCAAATTCTCACCTCACTCCAACGTCCGATATGTCGCCATCTACTCCTAGTCCATCCGTCCACTAACGGTTCCTAAGGTCCGCAAGTCCATAGGAGGTTCGGTATTGTCCCAACAACTCTCCGGGGGTTCGAGTTCCCCTACAGTGTAGGGGAACCCGATCGCTCTACTACTGTCAGGTCTGATCCTCCATTGGCGAGGCACCCCACGTTCTCTTATATTATGCTGATCTGATCGCTCTAGTCAGCTCCATCGGGCATGTGATATAGTCCCATTGCACGGTGACTCGGGTTACCATTATTCTCCGGCAGCTCTTCGGTAACATTTCTCATCCAGTGGGGGTCATCACTGACGGATTCACCTCGGGTTCTCCCTGGGTAGAGAAAGGTCAGCTACATCGGCTGAAAAAATGGCTATACTCTATGAACGTTTCCCTGGCGATAATGCTACCTCACGGTATATCCTAGTGTGGGTGGTATGAGAGGGGCCCAGGTTTGCAAATTCCTCAAGGTATATGTGATGCAAATCGAGGACAAGTCTAATTGGACGAGTTACACTGGGCTCACTCAGCTTTCTATAAATATCATAGTGATATTACCACTTCCTACTCCCAAGAGCCATCTCTAGCTCCTATTGATCTAGTATCCTCGTCCGAAACCCGACGACCCTGGGAACATCACGCTGCGGGACTGGATGATGAGTGCTTCACGGGGATTCGCCAGTATTTGAACAAGCTTCATAGTGTGGAACAGGAACATTGGTGCCGAGATCTTGTCAATGTAGGCAAGGCTCACCAGGTTGACTGAGGACCCAGTGTCTAGTAATGCAACCACCGCCGACGGTTCCGCTAGCGGAGTTCTGCTGCAGCCGCTGACAATCTTTTGAGTTGTAGGCTCGGAGATAAGTAGCTATCATGGCTACGCCCAGACGTCCATCAACAACTCGACTACCGTCGCGAGCCTAGACGACGGCAGCTATAGTCCCCTGAGCGGTGTCTATGAACGTGCAAATATCGTTGCTGCACTTGCCAGTGCGTGTAATTCAGAGCAGACCACAGTGTGGGCCCATCCTCCGATGGTG